AAGTCTAATTAATTACTTTATTATACTATATTATTCTATATTATATTACACTACATATAAACTGAATCTACCAAGCATTCAGCTGCACAAAATCTCATGACTGTCATCCAGCAGTCCTGACATACACACACACACTTGGCCCTACTGGGAGGAATGATGAGGAGGACTCCGTGGATATCAGAAGTTAATTAATTACTTTGTTATACTATATTATTCTATATTACATTGCATCTAAACTGGATCTGCCCAGCACTCAGCTGCCCAGAATCTCGTGACTGTCAGCCAGCAGTCCTGACACACACACTTGGTCCTTCTGGGAGGAATGCTGAGGAGGATCCATGGATGTCAGAAGTTAATTAATTACTTTATTATCCTATATTATATTATATTACACTTCATCTGAACTGAACTGCCAAACATTCAACTGTCCAGAATCTCATGACTGTCATCCAGCAGTCCCAACACACACACACTTGGTCCTTCTGGGAGAATGAGAATATCAGATGTCTAATTAATTACTTTATTATGCTATATTATTCTGTATTACACTACATATAAACTGAATCTACCAAGCATTCAGCTGCACAAAATCTTGTGACTGTCAGCCAACGGTCCTGACACACACACACACTTGGCCCTACTGGGAGGAATGATGATATCAGAAGGCTAATTAATTTACTTTATTATGCTATATTATTCTATATTACATTGCATCTAAACTGGATCTGCCCAGCACTTCGCTGCCCAGAATCTTGTGACTGTCATCCAGCAGTCCTGACACACACACTTGGTCCTTCTGGGAGGAATGATGATAATCAGAAGTCTAATTAATTACTTTATTATACTATATTTTACACTACATCTGAACTGAACTGCCTAACATTCAACTGTCCAGAATCTCAGTCATGACTGTCAGCCAACATTCCTGACATACACACACTCACTTGGTCCTTCAGGGAGGAATGATGATATCAGAAGTCTAATTAATTACTTTATTATGCTATATTATTCTGTATTACACTACATATAAACTGAATCTACCAAGCATTCAGCTGCACAAAATCTCATGACTGTCATCCAGCAGTCCTGACACACACACACACTTGGCCCTTCTGGGAGGAATGATGATATCAGAAGGTTAATTAATTACTTTATTATCCTATATTATTCTATATTATGTTATATTACATCTCAGCTTCCTAGGAGAAGAATCCTGGGCAAGGGGATTTTTCAGAAAACATGAGTGTGACAGTGCAGCCTTTAGTTTGCTGTGTTTGTGTGATGCAGAGGGATTAAATCTGAAACCATTTGTGTTTTGATTCTCCCCCATGAAGTACAGCAATGCCTTTGCCAGGGGCTTTTTATTGTTTTATTTTATTAATTTTTTTTTTTATTTTATTAAATTTTTATTTTTTTATTTTATTAAATCTGTGTTTTTCTTCTCCCCCATGAAGTTCTTCCCCAACGGCAACGCCTTTGCCACTGGCTTTTAATTTTTTTATTTTGTTAAATTTTTATTTTTTTAT